GTTAATTCATTCTGTATGGTTCGTGTCAACCTGTTTAAATGTACTCCTGTGATAGTGCGTAATCTGTTGATCATATTCTAACCGAGGGTTCAGTAATTGCACTGTTAACAACTCCTGGCAAGTCTGGAAAAAAAAGTCTGAAATGTATTGGCTATTGTTTTTTTTTTCTTTTCTTTTCTTCGTGTTGCTATAATCTGTCTGTACATTTCTGTGCTTGCGTGTGTCCTCCACGGGGGACTGGAGAGTTAACACAATTCTCGAATGACCATAATTGATGTTTTTTTTCTTAATTTCTTCCAGACCTTTCTCAAACTTGTGTATCTCTGAAAACTATGAAAGTTTATATTCATTAAGTATTTTATTAGTAGCTCTTACACGTTGAATGTTTGCTTTTGATCAGTTTACGCTTCTTCAGATAGATTTTTTTTTTTCTTAATTTAATGGATTAACTTGGATTATCTTCTACTCCCTAGCTGTATTTTAATATTTTCACATTTACCCATGTTCATCCTTAAGAGTTTAACATGAACTGGAAACAAAATTACCTTCATGTAATTTTGCGCATATTACTGGTTTTAAAATATTACATCATGATTCGAGAACCGTTTGAGAAGATTTCAGGTTTTATGACACTATTACAACCATGAGAAATTCATAAAGTAAAAATACTTTTTTTGAAGGCCCAATTACTTACATAAAATCTGTGCAACATGTTGAGGCTTGAAGAGTGTAGCTTTGGTTTTTATCCAGTTTTGGAGAGCGTCCACATGTTATGTTTAAAAAGTATAAATGCTATGTGTTGCTTAAGTGTTTAAAGGTCTTATGAAAGTACAGCCTTTAACAGTCTTTTGTAGCATCGCTGTCGCTCCAGGATTGAGCTGACACTCGTCTAGACAGGGTTGTAGTGCAGGTAACTGATGTCGCAAGTTTGTGGATTTGATCAGGTCAAACTAAACTTGTATTTCATTTTTGTGCGCATTGATGACGGTCTGTTTCGTATATTGTTTTTTTGACATTGAAGATTTGTTTTCCTGCAAATATCTTAACTTATTTCTTTTTCTTTGTGTATCACAGATGAGTTGCACAACATGATGTACGATACGTGGGTCCAGTTTTGTCTCTGGGTCTACTTTTTGTCTCTGCATCTTTGAGCAATAAATTTATATTAATATTACGATTCATTAATTGCCACTGATTTCACATCTGTATAGCAAGCAGCTCAGAATGGAAATACAAATATTTTTGCACTGTTATATAAATGGTTATGGACTGTTAGTTAACAAATGAACATATTTTATTAAATACACAAAGCTACCATGTACTAAGAAGAAAAAACACAAGGGGGTACTGTTTCCTAAATTCTGCTACTGCAGCCAGAGTTTACATACATGCACACCTATAGATGTGTGTGTAGATGGAGAAGTACATAAATGCAGTTTAAGACACAATTTTTGCAGTGGATTTTAAATCAGTCATTGTGATTGATGTGCAGACTTTCAGTTTTTATTCAAGGGGATTTACAAAAATTTTGCATTAACTATTTAGGAATTACAGTCATTTTCATATACAGTGCCCCATTTTTAGAGGCTCAGAACTGATGAAAATCCTTTTCAGCCATCAGCATTAAGTCTAAAAAAAACATTGACATTGTTAAATGTGTTTGCTTCACTGAGATGCTGGCTGCCAGGCCTTTACAGCAGCCACCATCAGTTGCTGCTTGTTTTTAGGGCTCTTTGCCTTCAGCTTGTGTATTTAATAACTGAAAAGCATGCTCTGTTGGATTATGACTGACTTGGCCACTGAATAATATCCCATTTCTTTGCCTTTAGAAATGCTTACACTTTAGTTGTCTTTTGTGGTTTTTCAGGCCCTGAGCTGGCCAGTGCATTTATTCTTATAAACAACTTACCAGTTTGTTGATTTAACAATTCCTAAAGTCTTTACTGCCTCTGATGGTTTATTTAGTCTTTTTCTTTTCAGCAGAATAAAGGGCTTGCTCACTGGCACTGATGTGTCTTTAGGTCTCAATTAAAATAACAGTAACACGCTGTAGACTTTGATTTGTGTAAGATATAAATTCAACACTTTGAATCATTCTTATGTCTACTACATTTGTCATTTAATTACAAGGGATCAGCCGTCACCTGGCCACGAAACTGCTTGTCAGTCATTTGTTCGATTACTTTTCCAACAAAATAGGGGCTGTGTATAAAAATGGCAACGATTCCTTAAAAGTTAAAGCATTATTTTGTTAAATCCCCTAAAGCCAAAGTCAGCACTTCAATCAGTTAATGTTTGATTTAAAAGCCTCTGTGGTAGTGCACAGTGCAGAGGCAAAACTACAAAAACTGTCTTTATCCAACTTGATGTGTTTTAAAGTGCAGGCCACAAGGAAATAAATACAATACTGTACATTTCAGAATTATAAGGGCAGAAGCAAAGTAAGGTTGCGTGATTTATTTCTCGAACATTTCGTATTTAAAGCCACATGAATTATTTGTTTTGCACCTCATTTTACTGCTTCCACATAAGAAAAGGTGTTTCCACATTAACAAATGCCAATAAAACCAGTTTTCTATTTTCATTACTTAAAATATAAATATTTACAAAAAATGCCACACATACAAAATAAAATCAGATTCTGGGAATCTAAACCCAAAAAATAAATCCCAGTTAAACACCTGAAAAACTCACAAGGAAGTCCCCCACTCCATCTTACCTGTTGTTCTCCCCTTTAGCAGGTGTTGAAAATCCTGGGAAACTTACCCAAACTCCCAGGAGAAGAAAGATGAGTGAGCACCCTGCCCATGCATTCTGCAGAGGCACTAAAAAGTTGCAGAATAATCCAAAGTGCAGGATATTTCTCTTCAATTTCAACTCAAAAACAGTCTGTGCTCCAAGTTGAAGGCCAGGCCATTGAGAAAGGAGCAACTGCTTTGTAACAATAAAACTAAGATGATTGAGAAAGTTCCAGGAGCATCCATACATGTCCATGCAGACCTTTTCCAGAGTTTTCCTGACCTGTGAATAAAACTTTCTCCCAATGAAATTATTGTCAAATTCCAGTCCAGCCCTATGTTTCTTATTACTAAAAACAGTGTTGCATCTTGCAGTACTGCCTCTGTAACACTGACAAATAAGTTCACATGACGCGTGGGTTGTTGCACTATTGGATCTGTGATCTCTAGAGCATAGCCTTTTTGTTTTCTGTTGTTACAGGTGAACTGTTTTTTTTTTTCAGGTGTTAGGTAAGGGTTAAATTTCATGAGAGTAAAATTAGAACAAGTATAGCTCGTTTGGATGAATTACCAGGACAAAACAAACCAAAACCTCCTCTCACTACATGGCAGGACGGCTCAGATTTGAAAAATTGGATCTGAACAAACTGTAAGACTTCTAGGACAGATGTCCTTTGGAAGGTACTAGAGGTACATGGCCATATTGCACAGTCCTGTTGTTCATAAAACGAATGCCTGCAAACCTTCATGAAGTGAAGCAAAGCCGTAGAGACGAGTGGGCCAAAATACCTCCACAACAATGTGAGAGGATGATAAAGTCATAAAGAAAATGATTACTTCCACTTATTGCTGCTAAAGGTGCTTCTGAAAATTATTAGTTTTTCACAGGGCTACACAGAATCCCGTGAAGGCTTTGCCTCCAAATAACCTCTCATGAAAGAACACCTGCTCATCTCTCATCTGTGAACACTGTGTGCAAAAGGGTGAGACACTTCCACGACAACTTGTCCATCAGTTGTTAACTTACACAGCTGAAAATGGGGGAAATCAAATCAACACTGCCATTTCTGAGATACTGAAAAATGTATGTGCATATCACCATGAAAGCTGATAATTTCTCCTTTTATTTCTTTGTCATCTTTACAAGTTACCAGTAAAGGACAGCTTTCTCTCTGCTGTGAAAATAACTTCTGAGAGCACTCTAAAAATGAAGGACTTGACACAAACGTAAAAAATATTTTCTCAGTCTATCCATGTAACAGTTATTAGCTATTGACTCAGGTTTGTTATTAATAAGTGACCTTTATGTATATATATGCCTGTATATATTGTGCTATTCTTAGTTAGTGTATTGTCTGTCTTTGTTGATGGTTGTTTATAATGGAGCACTGTAACGAAAAAAAATTTCCCCTAGTAAAGTATTCTGATTCTGATTGAATCTATTTCTTTCTGTCTTTCTAAGTACACCAGCACTTGATACCCAAGTCTGTATCAAAGCATACACATTTACCTCTAAGCACCCCAGCTGTCTGCATATACAGTAGTTTATCTGGTTCTCTCTGGAACACTCTGCCACATACCACAGGAAGGGAAGAGAAGCCACTATATACAATCTATGTGCTTACAGCTCAGTGTTCTGCTGCATCTGCTGGCATAGCAGCATTCACATGTGCGTGCACACAAATACACGTGGACATAACACTCTGTCCTTAAGACACTGTTATTCAGTCACATAAAAAATTAGTTTAAGGAAATCTACAAAGTTCAAAGGTAGCTGTGGTCCACTTTCTTCGTTTCAGATTCTTATACGTAAGATACCAGTGCTGGCAACAGCTCCTATACTCAGCTTCAGCCTAGCTCAAAGCTGTCTAAACTAGAAAGAACCTCCTGGCACGGGAGGGACCTAAACTTTGCACTTTATTGGCTGCTGGTTAGGAGGTGGGGAATCATGAGGTCAGCTTGGCAGACTTCAACTACAGATGTCTCAGGGGTCTGGAGCCAAAGTTTGAATCATTCAGTGTGGCAAGGAGCCTTCTTTTGAGGTTTAAAGTGTTTTTTTCTTCTTCCCCCGTCCTACTGCAACATCCCCACAACACTGAGTCAAATGCCTCACACAGACAAACTCCACATGTTCAACACATATGTGATGACCTACTTCTGCTTGATTTGATCACTGGGCTGTCAATAGCAGCTGTTACCCTAGCCTCCCGGAAATACAGACACCCACACATTCATGAACCGAACAAACAGCAAATTGACATTAATGTTTCTCTTTTGGCACATTATATATTTTCTTGAATATTTTCACATAGGAGGTATTTTGTGCATACCTATGTTTATGGGACAAAACCAGCGAAGTCACGAACCTCTGCTTACTCATTTGTGGTACTTGGTCAAGTCTACTTAACCTTTTTCTGGCGTTTCCAACGTGTCATGTGTTGTTGCTCAATTCCACCACTTACTAGGCTGCTTGGGTATAATCCTATCTGACTGATCTAATTTCTAGTTGTATGCCAAACCGCATGTGAAGGTAGGAACTACAACTGCAGTCTAGCACCGCTGCAGCTCACATTTATCTGACAGCTACTGAGCTGTGTCTTGTGGGCCACGACAGCAGTTCTGTCGCTCGTTGGTCTGCGGAACTACTTGACCGTTTCTCACCATAAACCCACTCCCTTAATTCTGCAAGCAGCCCCTCTCACTACTTAGCTCTTTCCTCGAGTGTGTTTCCGGGGCAATCTTGGACAAGCGGAATCGAGCGTAAGTGCGACATGAATGTACATCCAAAAGTTGCTGCATTATGTAATTTGCATGCTCCGTTGTTTGAGATCGCAGAACTTCACGCCACGTTACTACCTGGAACTGCTAATGTAGTTTCTTTTATTTTGAGACTTGTCGTTTCCAGGCGAGCGCACTCTCGCGTTCTGTACGTTATTGCACATTTACCCTCTAAAAGCTTTGTAGTACGCATTAAGTGCGGGGTTATTTAGTGGTGAATGTGCTGCCGTTTTTGCGCCCAGGTGCCCAAAGTGTTTTTTCCAAAATCCTTGTTTGGTCAAACTATTGGTGTTTGCACGTGGCTGAACTAAAGCAAGGCGCCAGCATTATATACTCGATTCGCCAAGTCTTGCCCACTAGATTTACTAACCCTGCGCAAATTTGCGTAAATTCCCCTGAACCTGAGTATAATAAAGTTATTTACATTTATTTTTCAGTTATTATGGTTTTCACTGGGTACAAAATGTTGCAAAAAAACAAACAAACAAACAAATCCTAGCCAGAACAAGCAGAAAATACTTCAGAAAAGAGTTTTTATACATAATGACTTTGTTCTGAAACCTTGAGTGTTACAACTTAAAACAGCTGACATATCACTATGTCCCTTTGTGTTGTCTTACTGCACACAGGGGTCATGGCCTTCCTTAGGAGCGCAGTTTGGCGAGTGTTCTCAGCAGTGAGGCCTCCTCTTTCTCCGCTGTGCCGGACAAGCACTCGGTCCTACAGCTCGGAGCCCACCAAGGAAAAGAGTGTTCCCTATGAGAAGACACTCAAACAGGAGGATGGAGCCTCCTCAGGACCCACTAAGCCATTACCCAGGTTAGATTGGGTTTTGAATGGATAAATGGATTGTGTGGGAATGTTTTCAGAAATATATTCTTAAGATTATATGCAGTGACTTTATACATAAACAGCTGATTAATCTAATGGTTGAAGTGGTGGATTAATATGTGGTTGTGAAGAAAAACTAGTTCATGGAGGAATGGACACAGTGATGTACAAGTTCTGAACAGAATATAGATGCTCTGTTGATACTTTGCACTGGGAAAGGTTGATATCAAAACAAGAGTGTTTATTGTTTGTTTAATTAAAAAAAGGAGTTATTGGTCATTATTGTTGCTGTAGTTTAAAGATTGGAAGCAGGGGGAAAGAAAAAGGGACTGTGTTGCACTTGTGAATTGATAAGTTAGTGCTAGCTCACAGGCTGGTTGGTTACCTTCATATGTCAAGAGTAGCATCAGCCTTTTTAGTCTTTTCATATAGCTCCTCCTGCCTCAGGTCAGCTGATGCGGTGGTGATTGGAGGAGGAAGCCTGGGCTGTCAGACCATTTACCACTTGGCCAAAATGGGAATGACTAATGTAGTTCTACTGGAGAGAGACAGACTGACTGCTGGCACCACCTGGCATACTGCAGGTAACAGTCTGTAACAGTACAGAGAGCTGTGTTTGCCTGAAGTTATACATCCTACTTTAATAGCAGTGTTCTAATAAGAAGTTTTAAGAGTAAATTAAGCACTCTTTGGTAATTTTGTGTAGTAATTATTATCAAGTGTGTTCACCTGCATGTGCGTGATGTGCGAGATGCTCACTAATGTCCCCTAAGTCTTTTGCACTCATGTGTCCCTCTGTTTATTAGGCCTCCTGTGGCAGCTGCGACCCAGTGATGTTGAGGTAGAGCTCTTGGCCCACACCAGGAATGTGATTAGCAAAGACCTAGAGGAGGAGACGGGTCTCCATACAGGCTGGATCCAGAACGGAGGGCTCTTCATTGCTTCCAACAAGCAAAGACTTGACGAGTACAAGCGCCTCATGTCGGTAAAGACAGAGACATGTTGGTTGTGAACATTATTAGGAAAGCATAGATGCACTGTTCAGTAAACAGAGGCAAAACACATGAAAAATGTGTTTGTATTCATTGATCAGTCTGTTGATCAGTTGTTGCTGATCAATGCTCATGACAATTTTCATATTAATGATGAGGAAACTGACCTCACAGCCCAATGTTCGTCAGTGGTGCTAGTTTCAGTCATTAGTTTCAATCATTATGCAAGTGAACTGTTTATAAGGTTGGGGAAATCTCCGCTCAGCTCAGACTTGAAGAAGCAACTTGGATGAGTGACGAAGCGTTTATTCTGCTAAAAACGCTGCATCCGAATGAACAGAATTAACTTTTTGGGATACAAAAGGAGTCACACAAAGACTTCAGATGGAGCAAGTACTTCTGTGACAGCAATTAGACAAGATGAAAGTAAATATTATCCTTAGTCAAAATTGTTTGTTTTCTATTTAGTTCACAGTGCTTCAAGAAAAGGACGCTTCATTTCAAAGTATTTGAGTTTGTAAATCAGTTTGATTGATTTTATGTATATATTTATGCACATTTACCCCTCTGCAACAGGGAAATCTTTTTTTATGCATGTAAATGTACTAAATATTTCCGAGACTGAGATGAGATAGTTGTTGGTGAGTAATGTCTCATAAATAATTCTATTCTTCAGGTAAAGGATCCTGAAGTCAAAAGCACCAAAGAACAAGACATATCGGCTTAATACTGTATGTGTGCACTACAGACATGGCCTCTACAGGATGTGTTTAGGGAACACTCTAGTTCCTGAAACATTCGACTGCTGCTCCTCCTTGGGGCTTTTAAATGTAAAATTGATTGTGGGTTTTCTAAAAAAGTTTTTTTTACCGCTTAACATGAGGTACATGAGAGAAAAAAAACTTAATTTACCTTAATTGTGTGTGTTAGATTTTCAAAGTTCACAAACAACACTACTGTTCCCTTTGCATATTATAAAACTAATACAGAACGCTATGCTGCCATAGCGGCAGACTCAACTTATAGTTACAGTATTGAAAAGAGTCTTTCTGTTTGCTTTATCATGAAGATAAAGACTTTGATATGATTTAAAATGATGGCAGATTTTTCCCTAACCACTTATTTGAAATTGGAACAAAGGTGCCTTTAAAGTAATATTTACATTGAACACGTCATCTCCCCATTTTCTTTTTTCTAGCTGGGCAAAGTTTATGGTATTGAGTCCCATGTCCTTTCACCGGCTGAGACGAAGGACCTGTATCCTCTGATGAATGTCGATGATCTTTATGGAACACTGTATGTTCCAAAAGACGGCACCATGGACCCTGCAGGTACCTGCACAACCTTGACCAGGGCAGCCACTGCCCGAGGAGCCACGGTAATGTCTACTGATCTGCTAAATGCCTCTTTAGTTGATGGCCAGCTTTATTCTGTTTCTACCCATAGATTTCAATGTGTGTGTGTGTGTGTGTGTGTGTGTACACACACACACACACACACACACACACACACACACACACATTAGTTTTGACTTAGCATGTCTTTATATTGTGAACAGCCCAACTACTACACTACATTCTTAAGCTGTGCACAAATGACTCACATGTTCCGTTACTTTTCCTCTGTAGTAATAAGTAAATACGAGGCTTCTCCAGTCGGACATCTAAACGTCTGTAATATTACTCGACTGATTCCCTGTGCATTGTACTTGCATGGAAAAAAGTGCATATAGCATTTCAGTTTTCCATTCTTTAAATCAGGTGATTGAAAACTGTCCTGTAACTGGCATTCAAGTGCGAACTGATGATATTGGTGTGAAGAGGGTAAAGGCAGTGGAGACACAACATGGAACCATTGAGACACCTTGTGTGGTGAACTGTGCAGGTTTGCTGGCTTTCTTTTTCAAAGATGACAAATCCACAAATGTAACACAGTGTAAAGCAGTCTTTATGTAACCTGCAACTGCTCTCCTGATGTAAATGTATCCTGTAAAAGTGAAATCGCAATGAGCAAAGGAAAATCCATACACTTTTTAAGGATATTTGTTTGGTGTTAAAGGTAACATGCTTATGACATTTTTGCCTTTCTGTGTTACCGCAGGTGTGTGGGCCACCAAGCTGGGAGAAATGGCCGGAGTCAAGGTTCCTCTCATTGCTATGCATCATGCCTATGTGGTAACAGAGAGAATCGAGGGCATACAGGTATGACCACCGTTCCTGGAGTCAGTGCTATCAGCTAATGTCAGAAATTGCCTCAAGAGGCTTTACGAGCCTGTAGATCCCTTCGTGCCTTTAGACCATTTGATTAAATGAGGAAGACTTTCCTAAAAAAAATCTTCAGCAGGAGGGCAAAAAAGGATTGAAGAAGTCCATAAAAGCAGTTGAGGATGGATACCTCTTAAAGTCGCAGCATTGCAGATTTACATCATAAATATTCAAAATGACAAACAAAAATTGTAAAGATGTATGAAAAATGACAACCCGTTCTACCTCCTAAAGCCACGTCCCGAATGATATTACAAAAATATAAAGTTAACGTTTTGTTTACATTTTTAACTTATTTGCAGTAAATGCTGCATTTGACAATGTTGTGTTACTAAGACATCATTGAATAAAAGAGGTGTTTCATTTTAATACATTTTTTTTTTTAATTTGTTTGTGAGTTTCCTTTTTACAAAGCAAGTTACTGTGATTTTAATAGGTTTACCAAATCCTCTCCGGGGGAATCATGAAGAAAGTTCAACATGCCCGGCTTTGTTTTATTTGGCTTTGCCAACATTATAGTGAAGCAATCAGGATAAGTGGGCACACAAAGCTGTTTATCAACTTGAAAAGTTAAACCAGGGTTTTGGAGTCTAGCTAGGATTGTGTTCATATGAAACCAATCATAAACATGGACAGGTCTGCTGGCAGCAGAAAGAGAAAACTATGATTTTAGCAAAATGCTGCATGAAGAAGTAAAACGCATGGTACAGGCTGTAAGCAACAAAGCTGCTGCAGTGCAGAGAGGAAAGGCACTGTGTGTGTTTGTGTGTTTTAAGTGCCTTAATCTGTATTTCTGGAAATGATCTACTACACTGATAAAGTTTAATCTCTGTGAACCCAGAAAGGAAAGTGACCAAAAACACTGACTGTTACTTACAGTCAGTGTTTTTGGTCACAGGATATCAGTTCTCTGTCATTAAAACATGAGAAAATCTGATAGATTATAATTGTTACTCTGTTAAATTAATAGTTAATGTGTTTAGGATACTTTAATTTGTATTCTTTCAGCTACAGCCCTGGTGTTGTGTAACAGTGTGAGAGCAACTATAGAATAGAGTAGGTGCATAAGTTTAAATCTATTTAGCATTTTCTCTAATGCACACACAGTAAAGTATGGATATAGGCTCAAATATTTGCATCCCCTCGCTTAAATCTTTTAAGAAGTGGTGCTGAGGGTTCTACAATGTCGTTTAACTTGAGGAGGCCAAGGTCTATTAACTTCTCATTAGTGATCATGATTGACTATAAAAGTTAGTTTCTCTTTACCAGCATAAAGTGGATTTGTTTGACAGCACTCACTTGTTTTGACTAATACCCAAAATAATGGGAAAGTCCAAGGAACTCAGTGAAGATCTAAAGAGAATTGTAGAGTAACACAACTTGTACATAAGTAAAAGTTTTTCTCATGTGTCACTGAGGCCTAGAATAAGACCCAAGCTGTCATCCTCAGGTAAAAAAAAAAATGGTAAGGGTGTTCAGGAACAACCCAGGAACCCTGTCGTGAACTGGAAACTGCTGGAACACCAGCTCACTGTCCACAGTGAAGCCAATCTGAGAACTTAGAGAATGCCGACCAAGAAAGAGCGGTGAGTGCTGGCCTTGTCAAGTTAAAAGATATTGTCAAACCTTCAGCGCCACTTATTAAAAGATTTAAGTAAATGTATGTGTATTTTTTACCGTGTGGATTATTGAATTGAATTGATATACCTTTTATTAGTCCCACAAGGGGAAATTTCATAAGGCTGCCGACCTATTGCACGCAATGGCGGCACCATCTTACCCTCCGACCATACATACATTACACAAAACATCACATGGGGAAGACAGGTCAGAGAGGTATAACAATGGGAAAATGCACCACATGAGGAAAGATGAGGAGAAAAAAATAACTCCCCCCAGACTGAGCTCCAACAGGGAGATCAGTTTGATTCCTTCCTTAATTCTTCGATAAGTCAGGGCCAAGCCAGCTCCGATCCGCCAGAACCCTGTTACCATGGTTCCGAATACTGTAGGTAGATATCTTCAGCACTCAGGCTCACCCAAGCCCAAACTTCTCGTTGAGAAAGGGGTGTCAATTGCATTTAGGGACCAGTTGATCCAATCCATAATTCCTCTTTTAGGTTTTAGAGAACAGACTGTGAGAGAGTGTTCCAGGGAAAAGTAATACAAAAAACACGAGACTAGACAAGGACATAAGAGGCTAAGCAGGGAAGCTAAGGAAGAGGAGGAGAGGAGAAAAGTGCGACCGCCTTCGTCAAGAGCAAGAGCAGAAGATTAGAAAACATCCAAACTAAATTCAAACGTGTGCACCAAGTTCTCTTTCCTTCTTTGAAGTCATTAAAGATGTATGCTGTACAGTATTTCCCCCAGGGGTTAGTTACCACAGCGACGTACTCTCATGAGAGTTGACGTGAAAAACAACAGATTGTTTGCCAAAAGCGGGCGAATGTTTCAAATAACTCATTTCCTTTCATAAATACCAGACATATTATGGTATTGTTTCACTGCTACTTGGTGGCAACTGTTGCACGATGGTGTGTATTTAATGGCTAATTTATAAACAGTTTTTCAAGGTGGAGGAGGGTAATTCTGTCTGCATTAAGGTTATATAACCAGTAGGGGGCACTATGACCAAACAGATTTTCAGCCTGCGATGGCCCAGACTGTTGTTTTATTGTTTACAATAATTTGTAATAGAAAAGTAAACAGAATAATTTGTGTGTATCTTTATATTAATGGGATGATATGTGAACCTGCATCTACTGGGGAAGCCCCTGTGTGTGTATACTTTATAACAGATGTTCACATGATTCACTGTATCTCTGTGATTGCGAGTCTTACGACTGTTAGATTAAATTAGTGTACACATGCATGACTGTGCTCATCTTCTCGAGGCTGGTGGTTGTAGGCGGTCTGTCAGCTCCCCTGTATTATGTAGTTTAAGAGGAGCTTAACCAGCATTACTGCTACATCACATTCACAGACGTCAGCCCACACACAAAATGACACACTCGCACACTTGGATGTCAAGAAATCTGTTCCCACCAGAGTGTGCAACTTGTCAGGTCAAACATTTCATGTCATCTGTGTGCCTTTGTGTGACATGTAACCTCCTGGGAGGCTGTGGTGGCTTTAAAGTAAGGGGAAAAGAAACCATACCAGATTGCGTGAATACATGAAGGACAGAAGGTAGTGCAGTGTTTAGTATTGATCACATGAAGGAAGCTGGCAGCTGCACCCAGTGCACAAGAGAGGGGAAATGAGCAGTTTGGCTTTTGTTATTTGGAGTGAGCGGTTTTTAAAATGTCAGCTTGTTCGCTGGTATTTTGGTTTTACCCGGAAAACCAGTTGGTGGGTAGAAAAGACCTCCATAGTGACGTGAATACAGATGAGACAACATACCTAAAATGTAACTATTTATTGAACATTTTTGCATAAATATTTATTAGAACACAATGAAATGATTACATGGTATGTTAGACACGATGCTGTGATGCATAAAGAAATGCTTTGGTTTATTAAGATAAGTCATTGTATGGACGACTGCTGCTGTAAACATTTTTAAGGCTGTTTTTTAGTCCCATGTTGTGATGCCCCTTTTGTACAGCTCTTAACATCTTATAAAAATGTAGCACTAAACAAAAGTGCACTTGTCTTTATATTCAGCTTCCAAGGAACCAGACTTTATTATAATTATTTAAGGTAGGATTTTCAGACATTTTAAAAAAAATCTTGACTGGGTTTTCATTCTTTTTTTTTAATCCAGTCCTTTTATCTGACTATTTCCAGATTTTTTTTTTCTTCTTTTTTTAATCCACTTAACCAACTGAACCCACTTAATCACTCAAGCATTAAAAGGGTATCAAACTCTAGGGATTAACCAGTATTGTGTCCACATATATTAGACAACTTAGCAAAGACACATTTTAAATTGTATCTTTAGGTGCTTTGTTCCTAGCAGCCTGTTGCAAGAACACATGAGGTCATAAAATCAATAAAAATGCCAAAGATAACATTTTGATAGGAATTAAACTGTATTTTTGGCACCAACAAGGTGATTCCCAAAAAGCTATTAGCTGAAAACCTGGCAAATGCTGACATAATGTGCAGTGTATTCTTAAAAATTGGTGAAGAAGAGGCCAATACTATCTACAAGAGATGAGCAGTATCTGAAAGTCATGTACTTAAGAAGTAGGAAATATCCAGCAAAGACTTGACACAGGACCTGAGAGATGCATTTAACCCTTTAGTTTACCGAAGCCTCATCAGTAATGGTCTCAGTGGAAGTTTGGCTGTCAAGAAGCCATTGTTAAAGAAGGGAAATTGGGAGAAAAGGTTGAGGTATGCCAAATTAAACAGGAGCATGACCAAAAATCAGAGGCAACAGAGCTTATGGAGCGATGACAAATTGCTGTCAGCAGGTACAGAAGAAGTCAGGACAGAGAGACAAAAGTAAGTGTCTACATCCATCTCTAAAACAAATTGGAGGCTCGCATTTCAGCGAATGGTATTGGGGATGTTGTCAAAATGTATGGAATTATAATTGCACTTGAATCCACCATGCAGTATCAACTGGAAAGATTGTGGCAGCAGCTTCGTGTTTTTTAGAATGACAAGGAAACTCACTCTTGTCCATGTTTCAATAAGTCACTGCACCTGTTTTCCATTTTCCTTTAGAACATAAAGAAATTATTAGCAATTTAAAATTTTTATGAATAGCTTTAGACCAGCGGTCCCCAACCCCCGGGCCTTGGACCGATACTGGTCCGTGAGTTGTTTGGTACCGGGCCATGAGAGTTGAGGCTCAGGTGTGAAATGTATGGTTTTCAGGGTTTTCAGCGTTATTTTGTTATCGTTTTTATCGTTAACTTGGTTTTCCTGGGTCTTTTCACGTGTGTTATGAATAAATCTTCTTTTTTTCGGTACCGGTACTAGTTTTATTTTGTTGTATTTATCCGCGACACCTTAAAGGCCGGTCCGTGAAAATATTGTCGGGCATAAACCGGTCCGTGGCGCAAAAAAGGTTGGGGACCGCTGCTTTAGACAGCCTTTGGGATTTCAGTCTCTGGAGCCTATCCCATCCATCCCTGAGCTCTTGTGACCCTGAATTGGATGTGCGATGAAGAAATTCACTCAATGGATGGAATATTTGAATTAGCTGTTACAGTTAGGAATTTTTTAGATAACTTTTGAGGCCCTGGCTTTGTAGATTTTTATGAACTTGGAGAATTTAAACAACTATTTGGTAATAAAATTACTTTTTGTTTTTGTTTTTTTTCATAAAAACCGTCCTTAACTGATTGTGTTCTCATTCCTTCGTGTTTTGATCCGTTCACTTTCATCTTCCCAGAACATGCCAAATGTCAGGGACCATGATGCGTCAGTGTACCTGCGCCTTCAAGGTGACGCTCTGTCTGTGGGCGGTTATGAAAGAAACCCCATTTTCTGGGATGAGGTAAGCTTGAATGTCATCCTGAGGTTAATTGTCAGATTCTTTCTATTCGTTTCAGTGAGTGCTGTGATAAAAGATTTAGCTTTGCTCGACAAAAAAAATCAAATACTTTAATTAGGAAGCTGAATAAACTCTCATCCAGTTTATATACTTCTCATGTGTCATTTTGACCTCATCTCTTATTTACCTTGTCTATTACTTTCTGCATGTATTAGTTTGAGGTCAAACTGTATTCATAACAGCAGTCAAAAGTGTGTGTGTGTGTCTGTGTTTGGAGGTCAAACTGTATTCATAACAGCAGTCAAAAGTGTGTGTGTGTGTGTGTTAATTTTAAAGGAAAACTGTAAAAAATATTTAACATTCAGGGGAAATTGTTATTTGTTTTATTCCAAAAAACTGATATAAAGACTGATAGTTTGTGACCATCCTGCATAGCTTAGCATTAAGACTGAGGTACTATAAGAACAGTTAGCAGTTTTCTTCCATTCTTTATAATCACATCTTTTTACACTCCAATTTTGCTATTTCTCCCATAGTTTGCAGGATGCTCAGACTTGGTTTTAATATATGTATCCTTTTTTTTTTTAAATTTTTTTTTAATTTTTTTATAAATTTATAACTGTTTTAGTTGTTTGTCTAGGAAGCTGGATTCAGGATGTTTATGTGTGCTTAGCCTGAATACAGAACAACAGTAAGCCGCTAATCTGGTTCTGTTTAAATATTCTTACAGCCTACTGGGTCGACTTTATAGGTTTTTAATATGACAGACAAATATCAATTCTCTTATCATCTTTCTGTAAAGACACAAAGCTACAAATATTGGACTTTAAGTATAAAAACTTGAGTAGCCATTATAAAGGAAAGCGCAACAAACTGTGTTTATGATGCTTCTGGAGGCACAGGAGTAGGTATAGTATACCCAGTAGGGAAAGAACAGGATTCCCTTTTCCCCCCAAGTTCTGTTGGAATCTTTGGCTTTTGTTGGATGACTTCATCAAATCCAGTGCCTTCAGGTCACTTACGCGAAGGCGAAGTTTATTAACCTTGATGCAAATAATGAAACAAAAAAGGGATCAAACACTGACACTTTTGGAAAGTTTATTTTTCTCTAGAAAGTTTATACAGAAAACTATACTTAGAAAGGAAAACAACTAGTCCTATATTTGTATCCATTAATAAAACTGTTGCAAGTCTTATTGCCCACACTCCACATATATTTTATTTCTAATGTGCACAGTGATGAGCACAGTGCTCAAGAGGGGATAAGTCTATTGGATTTTAATTACCGCATACTCATTCTTTTAGCACAACCCCTGACAAACATTGTATTTTTAGCTCCGCTTGGGGTGAAATTTGTTTTATTGGAACATTAAAACCAAAGTACATCTGTAAAAGGAACTGCAAGAGGCTCTGAAGACTAATTATTCGAACAACACTTTGGCAACTAGAAAAAGTCATTGTGCAAGCAGTTGCATGTTCCATGCAAAGACCGACTTTAGAGAGGGTTTGACTTTGGAGATTGATCTTTTTAAGAGCCTTTGAACTGACAGGTGGTCTTGGTCTTAATGGATTTGTACTTTCTCTCAAGGACAGGTTTTTAGAGCAGTTTGTTAAGTGGGCTGGCAGGAGGTTTGGTGGCATGCATTTATGCATTAGATACTTAAAACTTTTCACTCGTCATGCATTCCTTCTTGATTTATGCCTGTTTTTTTTTTTCTTTAAGACTTTGGTCTTTTATACTATTCAGAAGTAATGAAAGCCATTAGACGTTTTCTGCAGGTCACCGATAATATCTTTTTGCCTGTCAACCTAACTTCCTGGCTTTCTGTCCTTCTGGCTGGCTGGCTGCCTGTCTGCAGATTCCTCAGTGGTTTTTACATATTAGAGGATTTCTTTGAGCGGAAGCAGCTTCTTTGTTCTCGTTCTGCAGCAGCTTTGATGTCTTAAAGCAAGTGGAAGAAGAAAGAATAGATACCGAAAGGAGAATTAGCAAGGAGACGTGGAGAATAGAAGAAGCGGAGTGATTGAAGATGAGCTAGATTGATGGCTTGGGAAGGATTGGGAGAAGTGTGGTGCCTAGGACAAAGGTATCTGCTTCTCAGATACCCCAGTTGAGTGTCAATGCCCGGTAATGGTGCAGAACTCTTTGTTCACATGAAAGCAGCTACTGTCAGCTTAGGCATCCATATGACATTAAAGTCTTAATCGAAGCTGAGAGTGTCACAGCAGATGGTAATTGTGAAGCCAAAGGAATTTCCTTCAGTACGTCCTCTGTACTTGACTGTAGACCATAACCATCTATCTAACTTAATCACTTATGTTCAACATTTTAGAAAACAGGTTGATATTGTTATTCAGTGTTCTTTTTTTGTTTTTGTTTAGGCATGTCTGTTACATAATTAAAAAAATTGAGGAAAGTAAAGTAAAAGTACAGTGGGGCAAAAAAGTATTTAGTCAGCCACCGATTGTGCAAGTTCCCCCACTTAAAATGATGACAGAGGTCAGTAATTTGCACCAGAGGTACACTTCAACTGTGAGAGACAGAATGTGAAAAAAAAATCCATGAATCCACATGGTAGGATTTGTAAAGAATTTATTCGTAAATTAGGGTGGAAAATAAGTATTTGGTCACCTCAAAAAGGAAAATCTCTGGCTCTCACAGACCTGTAACGTCTTCTGTAAGAAGCTTTTCTGTCCCCCACTCGTTACCTGTATGAATGGCACCTGTTTGAACTCATCATCTGTATAAAAGACACCTGTCCACAGCCTCAAACAGTCAGACTCCAAACTCCGCCATGGCCAAGACCAAAGAGCTTTCGAAGGACACCAGGAAAAGTATTGTAGACCTGCACCAGACTGGGAAGAGTGAATCTACAATAGGCAAGCAGCTTGGTGTGAAAAAATCAACTGTGGGAGCAATCATCAGAAAATGGAAGACATACAAGACCACTGATAATCTCCCTCGATCTGGGGCTCCACGCAAGATCTCATCCCGTGGGGTCAAAATGATCATGAGAACGGTGAGCAAAGATCCCAGAACCACACGGGGGGACCTGGTGAATGACCTGCAGAGAGCTGGGACCAAAGTAACAAAGGTCACCATCAGTAACACACTACAACGGCAGGGAATCAAATCCCGCAGTGCCAGACGTGTTCCGCTGCTGAAGCCAGTGCATGTCCAGGCCCGTCTGAAGTTTGCCAGAGAGCACATGGATGATACAGCAGAGGATTGGGAGAATGTCATGTGGTCAGATGAAACCAAAGTAGAACTTTTTGGTATAAACTCAACTCGTCGTGTTTGGAGGAAGAAGAATACTGAGTTGCATCCCAAGAACACCATACCTACTGTGAAGCATGGGGGTGGAAACATCATGCTATGGGGCTGTTTTTCTGCCAAGGGGACAGGACGACTGATCCGTGTTAAGGACAGAATGAATGGGGCCATGTATCGTGAGATTTTGAGCCAAAACCTCCTTCCATCAGTGAGAACTTTGAAGATGAAACGAGGCTGGGTCTTCCAACATGACAATGATCCAAAACACACCGCCCGGGCAACAAAGGAGTGGCTCCGTAAGAAGCATTTGAAAGTCCTGGAGTGGCCTAGCCAGTCTCCAGACCTCAACCCCATAGAAAATCTGTGGCGGGAGTTGAAAGTCCGTGTTGCTCGGCGACAGCCCCAAAACATCACTGCTCTCGAGAAGATCTGCATGGAGGAATGGGCCAAAATACCAGCTACTGTGTGTGCAAACCTGGTAAAGACCTATAGTAAACGTTTGACCTCTGTTATTGCCAACAAAGGTTATGTTACAAAGTATTGAGTTGTATTTTTGTTATTGACCAAATACTTATTTTCCATCCTGATTTACGAATAAATTCTTTACAAATCCTACCATGTGGATTCATGGATTTTTTTTCACATTCTGTCTCTCACAGTTGAAGTGTACCTCTGGTGCAAATTACTGACCTCTGTCATCATTTTAGGTGGGGGAACTTGCACAATCGGTGGCTGACTAAATACTTTTTTGCCCCACTGTAGATGAAAGAGTGAATCAGGGCAGGAATTGAGAGAGAAATACGTGACTGATAAAATTGCTGGACAGCTCTGGTGTGCTGGACTTTCCACTTTGAGTGCCCTGAGTCAGCCAGATTAGTGTTTGATGGGAAGGTGGGGGGGTCGTCTGTGCTGCTGGCCATTAGTTGTAGGAGTTAAAGGCTGGATTTTGGTGTGGCTGAAAAGGAGGGAGTTGCAGAACTCCAGATTGGAGCAAATTAAAGCTTGGACAAGATACTGAGATGAGAGGAAGAGTTGATTTAACAGATGCTACAGGATGTGTTGTGGCTGCAGCCTTGCTTCCTCCAGTCACATATGAAGAGGATAAAAGAGCACAGCAGTATTTTTGACACTGGCACTGCGGTGGTACATCAGCATTGAACATCACAGTAGTAGTGCTGACTGTAGTCTACAAAGACACACAAAGAAAAGGAAAAATATTAAAATGCACCATTATTCAGTGCTCGCTTTACTGCTCATTTGCATTTTCTCAAAAATCTTCAATTCAATTTTTCTAATTAGATGTGGTCCCTATTTATGTGATTTGGTGTCTTCCTCAAACAGAACTCATTTTCAGTGTGAAAATTAGTTTCAAAATTGGTGTGTTTTAGGGGTAAAAGAGAGAAAGTAAATGTGTGCTGTTATTTTAAGGTTACTCAAGGTTTCAAGGTTATTGGAAGTAAGCCAGTCATTTATTATCAGTGTGCCTTTATTTTTTTTATTTATTTTTTTCAATATTTCCCAGGTGTCTGATAAGTTCGCCTTCAGCCTGTTCGATCTGGACTGGGATGTCTTTATGCAACATATTGAGGGTGCAGTCAACAGAGTTCCTGCTCTGGAACAGACTGGCATTAAGTCCACTGTCTGTGGACCAGGTACACACACACACACACACACACACACACACACACACACACACACACGCTCAGTTGTGTTCCCATCACCTCATGGGGAATTACATTTACTGAGGTCGTTTCCTGGAGACTTACTCTATCTGCAACCTCCTAACATTAACCCTTCCACTAATCTTAAACTTAAAGTCTACATGCTAAGATGTAGATATATGTGTTTAACATTACAGGGATTTATGTCCCTAAAAACAAAGCAGGCCATCTATTTGTGACTATGTGTAAGCGGACATATATATCCCCACAGGAAAAATGCAATCATGCACACATACAAGCACTAGTTCAAAAGAAGCATTAATCTTTGAGCAATTCCTCCATGCCTTTCCCTACAAATCCTTATGCATTACAGCAGCAAACAAGCAACTTTCACAACACTTTGGATGCATACTGTGGTTGCCCATGAATATGTAAACTAGCGAGCTGTATGCCATGTTTGCAGAGGAGATAGTTTGATTAGCTCGAGCCTGACTTCCTGTGCAGGTAATATCACATTGCCCAGCTGGTTATGTGAGCTGGTCTGTAGCCATGCTTCGTGGTTTCTGATTTGAGTTTTTTCATTATTTTAGCCTGGAGCAGCAGTTTGGAATAATGATCAGAATGATTTTGTGAGGATAGAAAAGTAAAACAGAGTGATAAAATGAAAGTACAAAAGACATTTAGAAGGAACTTTGAAAAAAAGCAAAAATACAAAAAAGAAAATGTTAAAGGGAAATAAAAATTGATAACATAAATTTTACAGAGATGAAATAAAGACGAAATGATGGAAGAAAAAATAAAGCTAGAAGTCTGAAAAGCTGTCTGTTCTTCTTATCTGTGCCCTTGGCTTTAAGTCCTGCAGGTTTTCATTTTATGTTTACTGGATAAGCTTGCTGCGTTAAACAAAACATTTTCAGAGTGAGAAAATGTTACTAATGAGAAATGAGAAGTTACTACTGCACCTTTGGCATTTCCATGAGGATACAGCAGGCTAAATGAAGGAGAAATTTCAAATATAAATCGAATATTATGAGTTCCATCAGTATGTGCAATTCACCACTCAGAGAGACTTATTTATATAGACAGAAGTATGGAAAATTGAGTTAAAGGTTTACGGTGTTTTCTTTTGGAATATTCAGCAGTTAGTCTAATGTTGCTAAAAGACATATTCACACGCATGTGTTTGTAGGTATTTAAGAGAAAATATCTCTTTTGGCTTGGTTCAGTTGAGTAATAAAAGTACTGATGTCTTAATGTATCTGCTGCAATTTCTCTGTTACATAAGACATTGTTAGTTTTAAAGTTTGCGTGTATTGGATTTTTGAAAAAGTTATTATTGCATTGCAGAACTTGGTTAAGTTGCCTTTAAAAACAACTTCCAGCTCTCCAAAACCACCCATCCAATCTGTGGTTTTTAACGCAAGTGGAAATAGAAAAGGAGACATTACGGTTTAATGAACAGCCAGCCTGCCGTTATGGTTAGGAGGCATTTACTGACCACAAACGGCTCGCTAAGTTTCAGTGTTGCACACAGCTGTTCTAAAGTCTCAGAGGACCAAGCCTGACCAAACCTAAATGATAAATGGTGGCTTGCCAACTAAAATGAAAAGTTCTGAGCCTTAGCCTTGTCACAATTCCTCCCCACACTTTTATATCTTGTGCAAAACTAACACATCCTGTACTGTCAGATTGTCCACCGAATATAGAGACCCATTTCTTATTATATCCGCTAACATGTCAGATGATTCGGCGCTCAGACTGCTGATATCATGTTAAGACTGAAGACATCACATCTTTAAATCATCTAATTTGTGGAAGATCTGCTGCCATGTTTGATCATGAATATTTTAAAAACTACTAAAGACAAAAGCCTGAATTTTTCACTGGCCTTTCGTTTTGTAAAAATGAATCAGGATGTGAGATTTTGGATAGATATATCAAACATGACAATTTAAAATATGAAACACAAAATCAAGCTGCCCTGTAAAATACCATATTTGCGCAAACACTAATAAAACATTGCAAAAGGAAACTAGAATTCTGAATGGTTTATAGTTGAGTTTCAGAATAATGCAAAATGAAACATTTTGAATAGATTAACACGAATTCATGGTCATAAAGTGCTATTTTCAATTAACTTTCACAATGGATTGAGAAAATATGACAAGTTGTATCACAAAGACAAAAATATCAATAGTTAGTCTCGTCCGATTCTTGCAGGATTCAGTCTGGAAGTCAACTGCCTGATTCCTGCTTGCCTGTAGCAACTGTGGCATTAGGATTTGGGTTGGGTTAGGGGGTTAGGGTCTTGCATTGGAATACAGATCACAAGTGGACACAGCAACTTTACATTGCTACTTACGTGAAAGAGGCTACTAATCCCGTTTTAACTACTTTGAATTGTTGTGCTATATTTATTTTCATATGTGAAAAAGTCTTACATCAGTACTTGTTGAGTTCTTTGCATTGTTATCGCCTCTTAGTATTTTAAGCTTACCCTGAATTATAAGATCTCTGATGGGCGTCAGATCTGGAAACGGTAGGTAGAGTATGTATCAAAATGAAAAATATGCAGATATTTATTGTTACTGAGCACATTATTTTACTGATATTTTTGGTTTTAGACTTTGTCATGTCTACTCAATGCAGCATGAAATTTGGATTCCTTCTTCATATTTGTGACAAGGAATTTCATATTAAAAAGTATTCTACCTGCTTTATTCTGCATTATTGTGAAATTGGGTTATATACACTTCAGAAAATGTTAGTATTTGTATGTATGCAACGTGATGTTTGTTATTAGTGTGTGCTCGCATAAGTGACTTTTTTTGGGGTTTTTTCTTCATATCTTGAGTAGATAATACTGTGACTTTTTTTTTTAATCTCTCTGTTCAAAATTACAGACCCTGATTCATTAGAAAGGTCCGGGAAAATTCCAGGCTTTCATCTTTTGTACTTTTTGAGATATTCATGCTCAGACATACCAAAAAAAATATCCATCTCTAATTTTTAGGAAAACTGGAGATGGATGAGCATAAAATCTTCTCAACATTTGATGATTTGGCATGGAATGACCCGAAGCCAGAGATGACACTGATAAAATAGCCAAAGTAGTCAAATATCCATCTATCAGTCCTTTTTCTTCTGCATATCCAATTCTGGGTCATGCGTGGACTGTATCCTATTCGAGCTACCACAGGAGCTGAGACTGACTCCTGTGACGAATCGGATAGAAACATTTTGTTCCCACCTTTATCACAAAGTTTCTCTTTGTTATTGTTTCAGAGTCATTCACAGCAGACCATAAGCCTCTGATGGGAGAAACACCAGAGGTCAGAGGTTTCTTCCTGGGCTGTGGCTTCAACAGTGCTGGTAAGTTCTGCGTCAGCTGACAACTGACAGTCTGAAGAAATAAAATAGTCAGAGGTGAGAAAAGAGAGGAAGGGAGGCAGGGAGTGAGCGAGAATCCCAGAGAGTGCAAAGACATCTTAGATTAAATAGTTAGCTTCATCAACTTTGCCTTAAAGAAACAATACATACACTGCACTCACTGATTATTTATTATAAAGTACTTCATCTTTAATAGCTTTCCCTTGAGGAATCTATGAAATGATTCCTCAAGGGGTGACAAAGGTCGAAGAAATCTTCTTAGAAAACAAATGGGCAAAAATAATGAGGAAAACAAGGGAAATGGCCAAAGAATTTTTTTCTTAGACTCTGACCTAGCCTTCACCAGTCTCTCAAGGCACAAATGAATAATAGAGTGGTTTTCATTTTTCAGCTTTCATCGAGAACATACACATACACGCAGGCACACACAGAAACAACCCGAGTAACTCCATTACTTCACTCAGGGATGAACTTTCTACTGACATTAGAGAAGGAGGAATGCGAGGATCTCAGCGGTCTGAAAAACAGAGAGAGGGGGCGTAAAGGGTAAAGTAATCACCATAAGCATTAAGACAATTCAGACAAAGCCTTTTTTTTCTGCACAAGAGCAAAAGACTATGGGATCCGGCTCTGCAGTCCTGACAGACGCTTGGGAGACGCAGTGAAGTGAAGACCTGATGTGTGGGCATCTCGACACTCATATGTTACACAGACCTCCCTCTTCTGTATTTTCTTTTCTTTCAGAGGTGTAGTTGACTCGCTGCAAATTAATGAGTGGTCCTTGATGTTTACCACTGCTTTTCTATTCCGCAACCACTTAACCATGAAATATTCTGTCCACCACCCTGATCAGAGTACTAACACGTCCTTCGAGTACTGCCTCATATTATACCTGAAAACAGTAGTAAAACTTGCCAATAGGCTTCTTCTCATAAAAATAATAAATTGTCATCAGTTTGGATTATTAATTCATGGCAGCTCAGTGAGCAAAAAGCTAAATGTTCAACAACCTCATGTGAGAGGCCGACCCCCATCTGTTATTCTCTGGTAATTAATAACTATAAAGTGAGCTTGGGACTGTTGGCATTACATTTTCTTTTCTACATTTACATAGAAACACAACCTGCCTGTGTGAATAGAGGTGGTTACAATGCTGTCGTACCCATTTAATTTTTTAGTGTAATGCCGGGTACTAGCTCAGTGAAATGGGCCTAGTATTACTAATATCACACCTGAGTCATTTTCACACATGCACAGCAGCCCTGAACTTTCCTAAACATTACATGGTGGAGCTGTGCTGCCTGCTCTATGGTACAAAATCAGTGTAATGTCCCATGTAGCTTATGTGTGAATTAAGCACGTAATTGTCATGCGAATTCACAGACAGTGAGTGGGAGTCGTGAGGCTGGTCTCCTGCGTGTGTTACCCGCTCACCAAAGGGAGTGCTTCCTGTAGTGAGAAGACTATTTGCACGTCTTGCAAGTATATACTTTTAAAAACTAGAGTTTGGGGAAAGCAGCGGTACGACCAGCAGCACAGAGGAGAGCAGGCATCAGTGATGCAGATACTGTCTAAGTCGGAGATTTAGTATGACGTGTAGATGTATTGCAGATGTGCAGTAAGTGTGGGAAGGCTAAAGCAGCTTAAATAGTGTGCCCTGCATAAGAAACTGGATGTGCAGAAAGGCATTTGGAGCATCAGTTGATGTGGGCTGCCATTGAGATTAGCCGATCTGCTGGGACTGAGCTTGACTTCGTAGCCTGCCTGAACTGTGCTCGATTTGCACTCAGCATCCACACACACAAAGGAAACACTGATGTGCCATGTCGTCCCTTCTTCACACTCTCTGCATCTGTCACTCTTTCTTCCCCTGTCTTTATGCCCCTCTGACAAGGAAACGGCATCTTTCGCATTTTCAGTGACATGGCTGTCTTGGCTCAAGGCCGGGCACGGAGAGGCAGGGAAGTTCAGAGACCAAGGGGTCACTTTTGATAGATAGTCATTGAATGCTCTTTACTTGCTGGAGCTAAATTTGGTCTCCAAGCGATCACCAAGCCTTCAGACTGGTTGAAGTTGTATTTGTTGCCTGGCAACCTTTGGATACTTATTCTTGGTGTCAAACCCATCATGCTTAACATTTAACTGCTCTTGTTTATAAAGGTATTTTTTCTACTTCTTTCTTTTAAAGCTATGAACTGCAGCCTCTCTTACCCGGCTGCATCCTTGTCTTGCTAACAATCACAGGAATAAGCACCTTTATTATTTCTTATTGTGCACGATAAGAAATAATAAGGATACTGGCGCTGATGTAAATCTTAGAAAAAAACTGTCTTCTGTTTTTTGGCCAACTTTGTTGGCTCATAAAATGGAAGCATTAGTGTGAACGTGAAGCCAAAAGAGGATCAAATTTCTAACTTAGAAAAATTATTGAAGAGGGCATCATGAAACACACTCTCTGCATTCTGAGGGGAGTATTGTTAATTTCAAGGTGAAGAACATACTGACTCTAAAGTTCTAGTTATTTTAGTGCTGATTATATGTGCTATATTCAAATAACCAAAGCCTTTAAGTAAAGTGTTAAGCATTTGTGGCAGTACTTGACTTTCTATAAGTTAGAAGAGAAGGTTAAAAACACTTAAATGTGTGAACTGTAATATATGAAATTGTGTATGAAGTACATGACGTTTTCTCCTTGTTGTGGAGGAGCTTTGGCTCATTCATCTTTACAACTTCGCTTTAGTTCCTCGATGTTTGCAGGCGTTTGTTAATGTACAGTTCCTACAGCATTTGGGATTATTGTTCTGATGAATGACCCATCTTAGGCCAAGCTTTAGCTATCACACAGATGGCCTCATATCAAGACCAGCATTCAAATGTTTAGCTAAATATGAAGACTAGGATTTTAGAGTACTGACTATCATGGCTCTGAGGACTAATTCATTTAGTGTATCTTGTTTGTCTAACTTCTGAATAACACATCTTGATATGCAGCACTAAATGCTGTTTTAAAATTTCAGATTAATGCGCTTGCTAATCTGCTGAAGAGGATATTGGAAAAGATTAAAAAAAAACAATTGTGCATGTTTTCCTGCTCTTTCTAAGCATCGGTGGTATTGCTGGCAGCACCGCTGTAAATGTCAAGAAGAAGAATTTGACACCGAGGAGATTAGATGACACATAATGACCGTGAAAGGGGCAAATATTTGCACGGCATAAACGCGAGGAGGAAAAGGGACGGGTTAGAAGGGGACGACAGAATGAGTGGAAGCTCAAGCACGAGGATTTACAAGTATGGAAACTCACACATCAACCCAGTTATCTCGAGTGACATTTATCAGTGCCACCTCGCCTTGCTGGTTGTCCCCACATTGTCTTGGGAGAACTTCATCAACATCCTCTCACCCCTCCTCCCTTTATCGCTCAATCCCTGCACCCATCCATCCATCTGTCTAGCAAAACAGCCATTCAACTGTCCACCCGGGCTCGGAGTGACAGTGCCTGCCGATGAGTGAAGTAATGAGAGATAGAGGGAGAGGGGACGCTGTGAGAGATGGAGATGGAGGGATGACGGAGGGTTGCAAGGACACACTGTTCGTGCTGCTGCATATTGATGCTGTGGTTGCAACACATGGGAGAGACATGCATACAACACACACACACACATACGCTTGATAACTGCAAATTACCAGCAGCACAATGCAAGCGGGGGGTTGCTAAAAGGGCCCAGCTCATTAACCCGACAGTTTTGGGACTTGACAGATAAAATATTGAATTGCTGATGATTGTTTGTTGGTTGGGTTGAAAGATGCACAATGCTGCAGCCACTGGGTGCAGATGATGAGGTCACATTGCTCGGGGGCTCCTGTGAGCAAGAGTCAAAAGATGGAAGAAGGGTTGAAATAACCTTATGTGGATCATGTGCCACATAGGAGCCATAGCAGAG